GGTTTTTCCAAAGAGTTCAGCAAGGATCTAAGCCGTTCTATATCGTCTTCGTTGAATTCCTTGCCACTGGAATTTTCTCGATTATTGGAACCATCATCATTAGCTTGTGTCAAATTGGCCTGCCCTTTCCGTTGCCAGTTTGTTGATCCTCCACCATTTCGGCCAAAGCCTTGTGGTTTCCCGTGAAGCTTCCAACATTGCTCCTTAGTGTATCCTGACTTCCTGCAATAGTTGCATACAAGATTTGTCCTATTCCCATTTCTTGGATCTGGACGTCTGCTTTCGGTGTTGGCAGCGAATGGTTTTTCTGGAGTTGGTTCCTTCGGGTCTGTTGTAGTTAAAGCCGAGCCTTCCAATGGTTGAGTAATAACCATTACTCCTCTTTGACTTTCCTCAGCACGAACGATTGCAATAGTCTCGTTCAGAGACGTTAATTCCTCTTTTCCAAAAATCTGCACTTTTACTTGATCAAATTCGATATTGAGTCCCGCTAGAAAGTTATATGTTTTATCCTTCTCAATAAAATTCTTAAGAATAGCAGTATCCTCACTATCTTTCATTTTGATACATCTATAGTAATCCATCTCTTGCCACAAATTCTTTAATAAGTTGACATATTCAATGACCGAGAAATTACCTTGTTTAGTGGCTATGAGTTTAGTCTCGATCTCGTAGATTTGCACCGAATCATTCACCTTGGAGTACGTCTGTCGGATTGCCTCTTATATATCTTTGGCCGTGGTCAGAAACATGCATGTGTCACTTATTTTTGGCACCATTGCACTCCAAAGCCAAGACATGACCATGGAGTCTATCTCGTCCCAAGCGGAAAATTTGGGGTCTTTGGTGTCGGGTCCAGTTCCAAGGAGATGGCTAAGTTTCCCTTTCCCTTTGAGAAATGTTCGAACAAATTGGGACCATTTCAGATAGTTCTTACCATTCAGTCGATATGCGGCTTGAATGTTCTGCAACTCACCTGTGGCCTGATGGGTAGTCGTCTCCTCGGATTGACCAGTTGTTTCAGAAGAATCTGACATCATTGGTTCGCCCTTTTACAAAAGGATTTATTCCCAGGAAGAGAGCCTAAAGCTCTGATACCATGTAAGCGAGAACTGAAATTATTGTTCTTGGGAAAATCAAAAAATACATCACGGAGAGTTGGCAATATATAGCCAAATACAATCTGTACAATCAGAAAAAGAATAAAGTTTGAATCCCATAAAATATGGGATTTTCCTAACTAAATCAAGATACTAGCTAAATGAGGATTAGTTTCCAACTAATTACAAAGTCAAAGATTTTCCCTCTAATTTAAAGCTGTCCCGGTTTTCCTATAAATAGAAAAACTGTGACTTTCCAACACATTCTATGCCCAATGAGTCCCCAAAATATCTACCTCAATGTATACTTACATGTATATGTATATGCATGTGAAATGCCCACAATGCCCCTCAATGAAAATGGCAAAACCGAGAGAAATTCCTGATACTGGAAATCGTCCCGACTTTCGAAAAATTCTAAAAATAATCCAGTCACTTCTAATAGGCTTAAAGTAAATAAAAATGCATTTTTAAAACTCTCAGCTCAAGAAATGACTTAAATGACTCTCGGGACTCGTGTGGCACGCAAAACGAGGCACAAAAAATAAATAATATAAAAATTCTAAAAAAGCTAGAAAAATCTGAGTCATTACATAGGGCATCTCCCTAGCGTCATTTGGGGGACCTAGGTTGTTCAACTACACACTTTCAAACCATCTCGTGCTCCCTTCTAGATTAGTTAACCCCGGACTATATGTCAATTCCATGGCACCCTTTTTACAAAACTATTTTCAAAGCTTTTAAAATCAACTTTATAAAACCGTTGGAAACCATTTAAAACATCCTTTCCAACCCATAACCCAACCAATGTCCATGATATGTATGCTATACCTAAACAATAACATTTCTCAAGGAAATCAACACAATATATTATCATCATTGCATGCTTTAAATCAAACACATCAAATCATCACATTGATAGCATGAATCATGTAAGGCAAATATCATCTCAAGAACATCAACTTGCAATTAATAGCACCTTCACATATACATCATGCTTTTCATCAAATACACATAATAGAAGAATCACAAAGATTAAAGACCTGGTAGTTTAGACTTCCCTACCTCAACAAGATGAAATCTAGCTCAAGATCCAAACCCGAATTCCACCAAATGTATGCAAGACCGGTGTCAAAACGTAGCCCTTGCCAAGCTCAACACTTTCTTTAACTATGGCTTCTCACAATTCTCACTCATGGAGGCAAGATCTAGAGAGAAAGTGAGAAGAAGAAAAAGAAAAGAAAATGGAGGAAAGAGAGAGTGCCGAGAGAGAGACGAGAGTGGTGAGATGATGGTAGGTGGAAAAGCAAATCCAAGGCTTATTCTAGCCTTACAAAATGTGTGGTCCTCATTAGTCCTCTCTCTTTAACTTGCCAAAGTACCAAAATAGCCTCTCCTTCCACACAAACTACAAACATATGCCACAAAAATATCTTCCTCCACTAACCCACATATATACATACACCTATATGCATATAAAAACACACAAAAGTCCCAACAATCAATAAACATATGCATCAAAAATAACCGGGTCCCACATGGTGCGTAAAATGATGCACGGAAAAAATAAAAAATAAATAAAAAAATAAAATCCGGGACATTACAGCCATTCACAAGGTATGATGAGCTGCACTCTGATAGAAACCAAACTGGAGGATGGCAGTGTCAAAGTCAGACCAAGTCAAGGGGATTACTTAAAGACCATACCGGGAGCGACAAAGACGATAAACCATCCCGGAATGAGCATAAGAGCGAAAACCTAAAGGGGAAATCATATACCCTTCCTCCTACAATTTATGATTGAGAAAGAAATTCTTGATGTCTAATTGAAATAGTAACCAAGAACGAATTGCAGCAATGGAAACTAATATATGGATGGTGTTCATCCTGACTATATAGGCAACAGTCTCATGATAATTTGCGCCATAGGTCTAGGCACAACCCCAGGCAACCAATCGGGCCTTATAGCGAGCAATTGACCCATATGTATTGTATTATGCTATAAACACTCAACGACAGCCCACAACCTTTTGTCCAATAGGATGCAAATTCATGTTCCAAGTCTGATTTTTTTTAAGTTCCTACAGTTCTTCAGTCATAGCGTCATGGCACTGAGTTTGTGTTAGTGCATCTGCAACACTAGATGGAAAAGGAACTAGGGCAACAAAAACAAGAAAACTACTATAGGAGGGTGTGAGAGAACAATTAGAAACAAAATTTGAAACAAGGTAAGTACAAGAACGTTTACACTTCCAAAGAGCAATAGGATGATCATCAAGTGGAATAATAGTTTGAGAAGGCAAAGCTGGTGCTGAAGGGATAGGGCAATTGGTCGCAGGAGTAAAAGATTAAGCATGTTGTATATGTTTGTTAACCTGTGAAAAAGAAACAATTATCATGGGGGGGGGGGGGGGGGGGGGGGGGGGGGGGGGTGTGGGGTATTATCATGAGGAGGAATAATACAAAGAGGAAATAGGAAAAGGTAGAGGACTTGACGATGGAAGGAGGTGATCATCAACCGTGTTCAATGGGGACCACTCAGTTTGAGAACAGAATGTGTTGGAAAATGATTTTATTAGCGGAAGCAAAAAATTTTGTTTCCCACTTGGTTTTGTGAATCATAATTAAGAAGAAGAAGAATAATATACGACATTCAAATGAACAGTAGATTGGCTTAAGTGAGAACACTTTTTTTCCCTCAATTTATGGACTGATTTTGATAACTTCAAACACCTCCAAATCGTCACTCCTATGAACTTGATGGAATCCACAAGCTATGGAAGAGTGGACTCGAAAAGAGTATACAAAATCCCAGTTCTAGATAGAGAAAATATGTTAATTGTGTTTCAAGTATCTTGTTGAGGGGTTTGAACATTAGACATCTGATTGAATCTAAAAGAGACACACCCGAAGACCCATAAGGAATTAAAAAAACGAGATTAATTGGCATGTAGGATTGAGAGTGGGGCTGCAAAGTTAAAAACCCTAGAAGGTCTCCGATTAATGATGTAGACAACTATAAGAACCGCATCTTCCCAAAATGACTGGAAATTTTCATGCCAATGTAGATATTTGTTGCTAAGTCAAGGATGCAATTGTTATTTCTCTCAGAATGGCTATTTTGTTGATGGGTTTGAACATTAGACATCTGATGCTCAATCCTAAATGTACAATGATCAGATTTGAATTTTTTTATGGTACGACCATATTGAGTTTGATTTTTGTCACAAAATTATTAAAATTAGTGTACACCTCATTCTTGGTCTTCATGAGACAGATTCATGTAACACTGCTATGATGATCAATAAATAACACAAAATATCAAAATCTAAGACTACAAGTAACTAGGAAGGCCTCCATGCATCTGAATGAACAAGATCAACAAGTGCTAAAGCAGTTTTATTACTACCAGTAGGATAATTTGGAACGAACATGTATACCTAGGTGACGTGTCTCATAGGATAAATCTGAGACAACCACATTACTAAATAAATAAGGAAACAAATTTTTTAAATAACCAAAGGAAATATATCCTAAACTCAAGTGTCAGTGCATAAATTGGACTTTATTAGATGAATCAGAACTAGAAAAGGAAACTGAATTTTCTTGAGGTGACAAAGGAGCATCCATCAGGTATGGGTTGTCCAAATTTGCCTGAGTTAAGAGGCTAACAGGCATGCATCCAATGTAATAAGACATAATTCATAAGAGCTCTTATGCTTATCATAACATGACATGCATGGAGACAATTAGCTCATGGAAACTCTAGTGGGCACTAGCTTTAATCCTTCTTTTTCTTTTATTCTTTGAATTAAAGGAAAATTCATGATCTATACTTATGCCTGCATCTCTTGTTTTCAAGATTATCTAATGAGCTGGTTATTTTTCTTGTGTGTTCAGAATGCATTCGAGTTGACATATATATTATGGACTTCGGTAACAAACTGCTCTCCTCTTTCTCTCTTTTTTTGCTTCATCTATTATTTGCATATTCAGTAGTAGTTATTTGAAGTAATGTTTCCTTGTGCAGTATGAGTTTGGGGTGACTTCTTGTTTTCATGAAAGTGCATCTCAGATATCAGTGAGAGTTGCTATCGGGTAAGTCAGTTTCCATATCAGGGAGTGGGGTTTCTGGAAACAACTCCATCAAGAACTGCTTCTACAATTCTACTATAACATTTGAATTATACCTCTATCATCTGCATCGTCTTATAGCCTGTCAAATTCAAGAAATTTCACTGGTAATTTTGTTTTAGAAAATTCGATGGTCATTGGAAGTCATTATTCCAAGGAGGTGCTTTGGGTCACACCGTACTTTTTCCTGGAAAGAAACTGGCTAGAACTGTTTAATTAACGAGTATAAACGATAAAAGTCACACACTGGTCAGATATGATGTTATTGAAATTGAAATTTCTAATTTAGTGGTAATACTTGACTTTTGACTGTGCAGGATAGGAGTCCAAATTTTGTGCAGCTACATTACGCTTCCACTATATGCCCTTGTAACTCAGGTACTAATTAAATACTACTAATTGCTTCATCTATATCATTTTATTCTTATTTTCTTTTTTATGAGGGAGAGGGTGGGGATAAAGAAATGTAAACTTACTGAGAGACTGGTAGGTAGGTATCAATGCTTGACGCAGTGGTAAAAGTTTGGGTTGTCAATCATGAGAAAGCAAGTTTGAGTTTGCAGAACCACTGAGGCATTAGCTTAGGTGGTATGAGCTATCTTCCCCAAAGAAAAGTCGGTTAATTGTGACCAACATGGGGCAGTGTGGTGTGTCTGTGTCGCTTACCTAACCCAAAAAAAGAAAAAAAGGTTACAGAATAAAGTTTATTGATTTATAAAATGACCACATTTGACTGATTGATCTCTCACCTCTCTCAGTTTCACATTACCACACATTTAGGAAGTAACTTCTATTTTTCTTATATCAGTCATAATGTGTTATTCTGGAACAAAATTTATTTCCTGTTGGGAATTTCAGATGGGATCAACAATGAAGAAGACTATGTTTGATGACCAAACTGTTGAGGCAATAAAGAATTGGCAAAGGAATGCCTTGAAGAAGATGAATGAAGGGAATACAACACCAGCTGCACCTAAGACATCAGGTGGGATCCCAAACATATCTCCAGAGAATTCTCCCACAACCGGAAAATCACCATGTTAAGAATGCTGATCATAAAATGGCTAACAAAAACGCATCAACCGCTACATAGTTGCCAGTGTGGGCATTCCTGGGGACATCCACCAATTACATAAACATGACCTCCTAACAAGCCCATGATTCTGGGGATGAGGTTGGTGATTGTGATGGCAAATTTTGACATTGATGTCATGGTTCGGAAACAATATATTTTCTTCAGTATTAGTTTTGCTTAGTTTTATGCTTTATACATCAGCTTAGGTTCGAATGGTTGATTGGCGCAAACTATCAGGCTACCAACCATTTCTTGCCTGATAGATACAGAACAGTTCATTTGTTAAAAAGTGTGATGGTAATCATTGTATATGGATAAAGGATCTATACTCTTTCTCACATGCATTTCTTTCCATTTCTATTAGATTTGTTGATCTTACTATCAGAGAAATTCTAACACTGAAAATGGGATTTTTTGCGATCATGTTATATCTGACTTGGCTTTGCTGCAGAGGTATTCTTTTTTACGTGTAAGCACCATGGGGTTTTTGGTAAATTTTAGTAATTGTACAAACTCGTGCTTTTCAAATGTTGGGGATTTATTTATTTTCTCTTGGCAAATAAGATACCCGTTAACCTTTTAGTCTGGATAATTACATAAGTTGTAATTGAAGAAAGAAATATGTTGGAGATCGAAAACTTGTTTACGTTTCTGGATTGTTCAAACCCTCTATGTTCTGGATTCTATTATTTGTTTATTTTTTTTATTGAACTATGAGGATGCAAAAGAAATGAAAGATTTAGAATGACATCCATCTTTATGTTTGTAACATGCAGAAATTAAGGTGATTAGAAGAACGATGATAGAGTTTAGAATAGAAAATTTTAGTTATTTTCAAATGGGAAATCTGCATATAAGTAGAGTTAGGAGTATTAAATAACAAACTAGTTTATTTTTTAAGTTTATATTTCACTTTGATTGAATTAGGCAAAGTAATTACACATATATAGAGAATCCATTGATCAGGTCCGAAATGTCCTTCAAGCTTTTATTTCAAAATACCAAATTATTTTCCTTAAATCAAACAATTCATTCACTAAAATTTTTTAGAGGCATGTTGTGATGAATTTTTTTTTGGGAGAATGTATGATCGTTCCTCCCTAAAGAGAAGGTTAATAGTTCGAACCTCATAAGGAATATGTTATGATTTTGCTTTAACTTGTGTTGAATAAATAAATAAATAAATAAAATTATTTGATTATTCATAAACAATAATAAATAAATAACACCTAGCTTCCAAACACCAAAATGAACGAATTGATACTCAGTATAATAGTTCTTTACTTTCAGATCAATAATAACCTTCCCAAGCCATCATTTCACCGAGTATCAATTCTAACCAATCTCACAATTAAACTATTCCATTATCAGTACTGTTCTGAGTCTAAAATTACCCTAGAATGCACCTTAAAGCTGAAAGCAACAACAACCTCATTTGCTAAATCTCTAACAGTACAGGAATGGACATCACCACGGATCCTAATGATGACAGTTTAATATTCAATTAAATTGTTAGTTAAGAATATTCACTAGCATGGAGGGCATATTTGAAACAATTAAAGATCAGTTATGTTTGAGTGAATTTTTCTAAAGTTTTTTATTGAAAAAATTATTTGATTTAAGAAGAACAATTTAGTAATTTGGAGAGCATTTTGGCCCTAAAAAATAGTTGTTAATGCATATGTAATTCTTATATTTAATTTAACCAAAATAAAAAATAAACTTTAAAATAGACCACTTTCTAATTTAGGGCTCCAAATTCTAACTAAATTTAGTTTTTCCATTTTCAAATTTTATAAATTCATATATTTTTCAAACTATTTCCAAGTATCTATTAACCCTCGTAACTTGGCAGCCACATGCCTGCGTTGAATTGGAGGACTAGGGTCCACTAGTGAAGAAAATATTACATCATTCAAGGACCATGTGTCATGTCCTGGATTTTTTTCGGTATTATTTATTTATTTATTTTTCATGCATAGTTTTTCGCACCATGTGAGACCCGATTATTTTATTGCATGTGTCTATTTTTTTATTGGGACATTGAAGTGCTTATATATATATATGTGGGTTAGTAGAGGATGATATTTTTGTGGCATGTGTTGTTGTTGTATTGAAGGAGAGGTCAATTTAGTACTTTAGTGGGTCAAAGGGAGAGGACCAATGAGGACCACTCATTTTGGATGATTAGGGTCAAGCTTGACCACCCACACACTCCCTCTTCCTCTCGTTCTCGGCTACACACACACACACACCACCATCTCTTATATTTTCATTTCTTCTCTCTCTCTCTACACCTATAGTGTAACGACCCAAACCTGGGAGTCCGAATCGCTAGTGTGTCGTCGCACTAACGTCTAAAAGATGTGCACTAAGAGTGTGAGTGTGCAATGTGACCAAATTTTAAATTTATAAAAGCCACTACTACCTCTAACTAAAATATAGATAGGGTGAGTAGGGATCGTTCCAAGGGATTATAGGCGCGCTTGCAATGGAAACGATGTATAGGGTTAGTAGGTCGAGTGATCAAAAGGTAATGTGTTTAGTTGATTAGACTATAAGTTAAACTAAACAAGTTCAATGTAAGATAAACAATTTAAATAAAATTTAGAAAAAACAAGAGAGTGAAGTCTTGGGGTTTAAAGGTTACCACTAAACATCAATATTCTAGACATTTAATGTATAATTAATGAGGGGAAACATGTGTTGCAATTTGAGAGTGTGTGATTGATTGTTCCAACAAGCATAGATGACCAATTAAGCATATATTGTCTAAGCAACCTAGTGGATAGCACAATACATCAAACTAAGTCATTAATTATTCCTTTAAGCTCACAATCCAAACATATCACATGGTTAGAGAATAATACTACTTGCATTCATAAGCATGGAATATTAAACAACAAGCATGAATTGTCCTCCCATCTAACAACTAAGGCAACTACACTACAACTACGCTAAGGGCATGAAAATTAAACTAAATAAACTAAAGGAGAGACACAATCCATTAAGACATGAGTATGAACCATCAAAAAAACCACAATAGTATTCTATTAAGCACTATGTCTTGACAATCTCTAGATTCATAGCATCAATACACATAGACATGCATCAATAACACAAAAACTAGAGATAAATACATGAACATCTATTCTAGCATACATAGACATATGGATAGAATGAAATGATCAATTGGAAGTACTAAACCACACAAATTATTGAATAAACAAGATTCATATATAAAATAAGTGTCAAGACAAGATTACAACACAAATCCCCTCAAAATACAAAGCATTAGAGTCTAGAAGGCATGCTTAGGGCTAACTCTAGCCCCAAGAAGATGTTTAGCCACTCATTGAAATAGTCATCCAACCCTCAAGGGCTATCTACATGGTAGGAATGACCTCCTTCTTGATGGAAACCCTAGAAGAATGGAAGAACTCCCAAGAATGTGTCTTTAGCCTCTCCTCCTTTCCTTTTTCCTCTCTAAGAATGTTTCTAAGTATATCTCTAAGTATATATGTAAAAAGTAGCTCAAATCTTTATATAAGTAGCTCAAGTGTCACACCCAATGGTCTGGACTCGTGTACAAGAGCTCCTCCAATGATTGCACCATCAGACAATTTTCAAGATGTATCAGGATATGAAGCGGCGGTTTTGGTGGGCAGGTATGAAGAGGGACATTGCTCTGTTTGTTTCTCAGTGTAGTACTTGTCAGATGGTTAAGATTGATCATTAGAGGCCGCCAGGAACTCTACACACTACCGATACCGGAGTGGAAATGGGAGAGCATTTCTATGGACTTTGTGGAGGGATCGCCCATTTCTTTCAGGGGTCACAATTCCATTTGGGTCATCGTGGATAGGTTGACCAAATCAGCTCATTTCCTACCTATTCGCACTGACTTCACTTCGGAGCAGTTGGTGAGGCTTTACATTTCAGAGATTGTAAAGCTACACGGTATTCTGTTGTCTATTATATCGGACAGTAATTCGAACTTTGTGTCTGGATTTTAGAAGAGCTTTCAGCAAGCTTTGGGTACAGAATTGCATCTTAGCACAGCTTATCATCCTCAGACTGATGGACAGACTGAGAGGGTGAATCAAATTATAGAAGATATGCTTCGATCGTGTATTCTTGATTTCAAGGGCCACTGGGAGGATTACTTGCCACTTGTGGAGTTTGCTTACAACAATAGTTTTTAGAATACTATTGGTATGGCACCATTTGAGGCATTATACGGTCGACCGTGTCGATCGCCTGTTTGTTGGATGGAGGTTGGAGAGAGCAGATTCTTGGGTCCTAAGTTTATTAAGGATACTTCTGAGAAGATTGCTCTTATTCGGGATCGTATGCGTACTGCTCAGAGTAGGCAAAAGAGTTATGCTGATCGGCGTACTCGTGCTTTGGAATTTAGGGTTGGAGATCAGGTTCTACTCAACGTATCACCTATGCAGGGTGTTATGCGCTTTGGGAAGAAAGGGAAGTTGTCACCTCATTTTGTCGGTCCATTCATGATCACGGATCGAGTTGAAGCTGTCGCTTATCGGTTGGCACTTCCGGATAATTTGGATCGTGTACACAACGAGTTTCATGTTTCCATATTGCAGAAATTTCTACGAGATGAGATCGGTATCAGCATATCGATGTTGGGGAGATTGAGTTGCAGCCGGATGCAACTTATTTGGAGCCACCGTGTCATATTGTCGACCGTCGGAACCAAATCCTTTGTAATAAGGTTATCCCTTTAGTTCGTGTTCAATGGAGTCATCATAATGAGGCTGAGTCCACTTAGGAACGAGAGGATGTCATTCGCTCGCAGTTTCGTGAATTATGGGAAGAAGGTAAGAGCGAATTCCGAGGACGGAATTCCTTTTGTTAGGGGGGAAGAATGTAATACCCCTAATTTCAAAAGGATAGTCCTGGTATTTAATTTATTGTTTTAATTGAATTTTTAATTATTTAATTGTTTATTTGAATTTTTTGAATTACTTGAATTAATTGAATTACTTGAATTATTTGAATTCTTTGATTTATGTGAATTAGTTGAGTTATTTGACTTAATTTTAAATTGGTAAGTTGTTTATATGACATAATTTTTATTTCTTTGAATCACTATTTTAATTTACTTATTTGTTTTCATTTAATGATTTAGATTAGGGTTCTTTAAGAAATCACGGTTGTAGTCAACGTAAGTTTTAATTAAGTTTTTATGGGCCGAGTAGAATTCAGTTTGGAGCTTGAATTAATTTAGGATTTGGTATAACTCTATAAATATGTAGGATATGTTTGTTTAGGGTTTAAAATAAAAAGAAAATAAAACCTATTCACGTCTGTGGAAGTAGAGAAAGAACAGAGGAGGG